ACCACAAATAAAATGGTTCAACACATTGTAGCCAGCTATTTCAACTTTAATAAAAATACCATTTCAAAATTAAATGTTATGTAGCACTGTCAAATATATCAAAACTAACAGAAATACCATCCGTATGTTACGTATCTAGTAATGTTTTTGTTTCTAGTACGGCGGCTTTACTTCTGTGGGCAGCTTCGGCTATTATGGCCAGCTGCCAACCCGCATGTTTTGCAAGTACGCTTCTTTTTTAATTGCTCAATAATTGCCACCTCCTTGGCTGATTTCATTCGCTTGCCAGAACCTTTGGTCTTCGCAACTTCGGGGGGGTGCACTTTAATCGTGTCTGGCTCTGGAACTCCACAATACGCTTCCATAACTGCTCGTTTCGCGTTCCCTTCTGCCCTATTCACTTCTTTATCGCACAGTGTTGCTTCCAATTCTTCAATCACATTTGTAATCTGTTGCATTTTTTCACCATTACCTCTAGCCATGCCTAAACATCTGTAAATTGTGTTTATAACTTTCCCTTCCACGGTGGTATTATGTCCGTTGTTGTTCGCCCATATTTGTCTCCCTACGCCCGTACCTTTTCTATATTTTTCACCGCCTCTTTGGTCCATCTTGGAGTAATATGTTGTGGAGGTATGTGGTCGATCCGTTCATCTTTTAATACTACAAATACATGTCGACAGAGCAGCCCGATCTTTGTGTATAATCGACATGTGCAACTTGTATTATTGCTCCCATCCTCAACTATGACGGTGTATCTTTTATTGGTCCCGTCTTCGACCACATATGTCTTCACCCCCTCAGCTTCGGTGTACGATCTCACCCGGCATGTAGACCAACCCTCACATATTTCTTTTTGTACATCAGAGAACACAGTCAATGTGTACACCGTTGCTGCTTCTCGCTCTATGCGCAGGAGGGTCTTGAGAGGTGGTGTTTGCCCAGTGCAAGCTGAGCTAAGTTCCAGATGCTTGTCGCGTTGTTTCCGAACTGCACTTTCAAAACGTTTGAAGAATTCAACAAGACATAAATGCTTATTAGTATTACTCTGAAAAATTCTGTTCTCAGCTTCTGAACGTGAAGTGGTACGCAATAGGCCCCCCATAAACACATCGTCAAAAAACGGAGGCACCCATGATGCACGCTCATCATACATACGTTTCAACCAACGATTCTCCAGTAGGCCATACTTCTGAATAACTGCATTCCATGCGCTCTCAAATCCTGTGGTCGTTGATTCCTCGTTCCACACAACGGCATTCAACGCACGCCGAAACTCCTCGTTCTTCGCTAATGTATTACCAACTTTGTCACCCACCTTAGTCATAATATGCCACATACAGTAACGGTGACGAGTCCCCGGGAATTCCGTTTCAATCGCAACCTTCATAGCTGGATCTTGATCAGTTATTACGATAGGTGGTGTACTTCCCATAGCATTCTTGAAGTTTCTAAGGATCCAACTATACGATTCCACGTCCTCTTTATCAATTAGTCCCGCAGCAAATGTCACGCATCTCTTATGGTTATCTATACCCGTGAATGGGACAAACACGAGATTGTACCTGCGACCGCAAACAAGCATCAATTAACCAACATGCAAGTGTCACAACACCACACACATTGTTACTTGCACACACTCCTCAAATTCCATGCTCATCTAACAATTAATTTTTTATATTTCCATTTCTAAATGCACTTGTTCTGCCACGTTGTATACAATTGTGTACAGTTACTACATAACATGCACCATACATACCATGCACCATTACGCACAGACACATACCAAAATAATACTGAATAAGATGCACCATATGTTATCACCGCAAAACTTGCAGGTATTCACTTTTTGTAATATTTTTTATTGACGTGTTTACAAAAGCCTAGTAGTCATATGTACCTGTTAGTTTTGTATGTTGCGTCGAATGACACCACATCTCCAAAAGCCCCATAGTGCAGTCTTGCCCGCCTATCCGCCCAAAACACCCAAGCTAATTGGTCTTTCTCGTTCACATCGTACTCAAAATACATATCTACGCAATCATTTTTCTTCTCTAGGTATTGGGATATCACCATCTGGATATCTTTCTCTTTCATGTACGCCAAAAGCTCTCGCCTGTAATTCTTGAAGTCTTGTTGCGTAGCTCCAACATTCTCGGGCCCACCAACCATTTCGGCATATATATCAAAACTCTTGCTAGCCCCAACGTTTACCTTTCCGCAGTTTGTTATGAATTCCTGATGTCCGATGTCTATTTTCCTATTCACTTTCATGAATCTTTTGTATTTCTCCTCGCACAGGACGTGTGTGTGTCTGTCTACAAATGTCTTTACTACATACTTCCCCTCTTTATTCAACGTCAATACAAGTCTAGCAGGGCATCCTACTCTGTTCGTCGTCCTCCGGCGCTTCTGTTTTGTTGTTTCTTCCTCGATACTCTCTTTATTTTTTGTCTCTTTAAACCCTTCCCGTGAACATACCACTTGTTTTTTCTTAATTTGGTCGTATCTGTTTCTTTTATCGGAACTGCGACGCACATCAAATCCAACTATGCCAGCGTACGTCGTATAGAACGTGATCCCATCTTCCATTGTGTCGAATTGCTGTCCTTCAAACGGGTTCATGCTTGCGTCACATTCAGGTATCCACGTGTGCGTACCACCAGGCGACACATCCATAACACCAGTGCCTCCATTATCCATTTCTTCATTGCTTACAGCAACACCCACTCCTGGGAAAACTGTTACATATATATGTATTTTCAGAGTTTAGTACATGATACATTTTAACCCACACACACTTGTAAATTATGTTGCCGTTCGCACACAAATAAACACTGCATTTACTACTCATTTAAATGATAATTCCTGTTCTCGATTACTATATAATTTTCTGCACCCTTAACACATTTCTTCACGAACATACCATCTTATGTTCTGGTTATTGTTGTTTAGGTAGTTTTAACGTATTCAACCCACATAATCGTCTATTACGCACAGACCAGACGTCACACTTGCACAGACACCACTCCTTCCTACCAATTGCCACACGCTTAACATAAGCTGTTCTCACTCATTAGATTGTTACCACATGCAAACACCCATTAATCTTTTCAATATACCAACACATGTATGCATGTCGTTGGAATTTTTTTTTTAGTTTTTGCCAAATAATGTACACATGCGGTGTTATAGGAAAACAACTTATAAACCACTTCACCTTACATTGCAAACATTTTACGCGGATTACACGGATATTTCCTTTCGCAATTACAATTATTCTTACTGTTGATATCCTACTATACAATACACGCAATCACCTAATCAACTACTCGCACACACCACACAAACCACAAACACCCTTGCGTTACAGGCAGGCTACCCCATGGCTTAGTTTACGATGTTGCACATGCCATAACGTACACAAGCACTACATTTTCAAACAACCAAATTTAAAAACAGGAAAACCGGCACACATACCGGATGTCGCACACGCCATGCACACGTCCGCCCAACCAGGCTTCTCCCCTGTTTAAGCTTTGAATGCACAAGCCACCTATGTCTTTTCTACTCTCCAGTCAGACTCTACCGTGGAACATATAGGAATGTTTGGATTTTAAATGGTATGATTACTAATTACCAATCTTAAGCAGCCTATTCTTGTGCATAATAATATATTAATATTCTTCCCAAAATTAAATACAGTAACACTTTTACGTGAATATCCCTATGATCAATATTTGGTCATAATTAGTTGCTCAATATCTTTTAATCTTAGCCATTAAATTTAAATGGGTGAATGGTGATGATGGGATCTCATTATCCCATTTTAATTAGGTACCTCATGGGAACCAAAGCCTATATATATATATATATATATATATATATATATATATATATATATATATATATATATATATATATATATATATATATATATATAGGGTTGAGTTCAAATGAGGACAACAATATATAGAGGACTGTGAGGACAAATAATGGGCATACAACAAATTTATATCAGGCACACAACTTAATACATAATGGCACACAAGAATAAATGTAAACATCAGGTTTCGAACTCAGGCTCTATAAATTAACAAATACAGCACGCGACATACAAACTGTGGCACACAACTACATTCGGTCATGCACACGGCATACCGGCTAATGGCACACACTACATCTGTCCTCACAGTCCTCTATAATATACTTGTCCTCATTTGAATACACATCTATATATATATATATATATATATATATATATATATATATATATATATATATATATATATATATATATATATATAACAAAAGAAAATACGTAAGCGTTTCAAAAACTATACCATATACGAAACACAATATACGTATACAATTTTCAAATTATATTATATCACTGCTAATATAATTGATAACCAGGCAGAGATTATCAGGCTTTGATACCAAATGTTAGATAATAATATGACTAACAAGAGGAACCTGACTCGTTACAACGGAAGCTTTAGGATCATCTGAACATCCCTTGCCATAGTTGCCACGGGATGGTAAACCTGCAGGATAAACGTCAGTGTTTTGTCTACCACTTCTCTCCCGAATACTCGATGGTGCGTGTATACTGAACACGGGAGCTGTGGGAGGACTATTTTGCTTAGAAGCCTACATGCCATCAATGTAGGCAGATATTCAGTTAAAGCTTAACTGAATATCCTGAGTTGCCTAACAGATTAAGTCACTTAATCTTCCACTTGCACCACAACCACCCAATAATACAATATATTATAATATATTGTATTTAGGGAAAATACTTACATGGAAGTCATCCATAGCATAAAATAGTAGCGTCTTACTTAGAACTCTTTAAAATGCATTTTTTAGAAAATGAGAATGACTTGGAAAAAGTAGAGCACAGACAGGAGTAGATCTTTTCCTTCTTTAGGCTGCTTAATTATGCCTTTTTAAGGGTCACTATACAGCTGACCCTTTTAACTTATTTGTAATTCTACAATTCAGAATCAGCCATTTGCGGATATTTCTTTGTACATGTATTACAGTATAAGCAAAATTAGGTGACAGATCTCACAGATGCAAGCATCCGAGGTAACCATGCATATAGGATTATGTCTGTCTTTTATCTTTCTTTTTTTTTTCTAAAAATTAAATTCCCTGACTGTCAACCTTGAATGCATCCTTTTATTTATATATTAACTCCATTTTATTTCCTTTCAAAAATCTTGTGTATTTTATTTCTTTTCTTCTCCCTTTTGAATTGGTCATTTGTCTAATTTCTTGTGCCCGCAGCCTGCACCATTAGTGCACTTGTGCTTTGAGATATTAAAACAAATTTTAATACTCTCTCGGTCCCATTTTATTTTTACTTACCATTTTAGTCTGTTCCAAATTAATGTCTCTTTTTAAAAAAATTTAAACATCATTAAATTTTTACTTTATACAGAGTACATTTTATCTTATGTTTTTGTTTAAACTTTCTATATTCGCTTGAATTCTCATTTTTATAAACGAACGAACAAGGAATGAATATCTTATATTCTCTTTGGTTAAATGGGATGGGGAGTGTTTTGGTAAATTGTTGACAACATTTCTTATTGATAATAAAGAGTATATCGATGTGGAGATAGATCAGACAGTCTTCCATCATGGACGCGTGAGGAGTGTTTAATTATGTGACGATGGAGGATATACAGGATTTGTTGACGATGAATTGGCTTGATGCATGTATCAATTAAACAAGTGTTTTTGCTGTAAGTTTCAAATTGTTCTTGTGTTTTATATACATTTTTGTTTTTTATGTTTATTGAAATTTCTTGTTTGTTATTTTGAAGATTTTTTGAATAAGTTGTGCAAACAGTTTGGTGTAACCACTACTGGAAATTATGAAATTTCCGACTACCTGAAAGTGATCTTAAATCAAGTCGAAAGTCTTGTTCCGACCACTTTTGGTATTCGGAAAAACCTTTGTTGCTATTTCCGACCACTTTTTAGTATCAACTTGATTTAAGATCACTTTCAGGTGGTCGGAAATTCTATAATTTCCAGTAGTGAACGTTTATTGGGTTTGCGTGTCCAAACGTAAATTTCAGCGGATATGATCAACGTAAATTGTGTTGCTGTTACATCATATTTCATTCATGTATAGACAAGCATGCACAAGAATCAACAATTCATATTAGCACCATATCATCAAGAGTAAGTCTTTTACTTTACTAATATATATAACTTAATAACTTTATTTAAAGTGTTTGATATTAGAATTTTAATATATGTATGTTTTGTAAATATAGTAATCACTTATTAATTATCGTGATTTGCACACGTTCAAGAACCATGCATATATTGGATCCATTGAAATGTGAAATCATCCTTGACGTCAATTACCGATTAGATAGAAGGTGGTGCTGGAGAAGATGAGGTATTAAAACCATGTCTGATTCTATCCTGATGGTTTTTGTATGCCATTTTGGAACTACCAGCATATTTACCAAAAAGCTCTCTAAGCTTTTCTTCTCTAGTATTACTTGTTGTACACTCTCTTTTAATCTTTCATCTTTCATTTTTAGCACCTCACATGCCCGCAGCGTGCACCTCACAATGCCTGCTGGGTATCTCTTTTCTATGTACTAGTTTTTTACACGCGCATTGCGCGAATGTGTTAATGCCCAATGTTTAAAATTAAATAAATATTTGAAAGTATATCAACGCAAGATTATATATGAGAAGTTCATACATAAGTAATTTAATGTCAAATTTGTAGATTATATATATATATATATATATATATATATATATATATATATATATATATATGTGTGTGTGTGTGTGTGTGTGTATATATATATATATATATATATATATATATATATATATATATATATATATATATGGTCCGGATCAGGTGAGGACCTAATCTTAGGTGAGGACGTGAGGACTAATCTAGACCATTAAATCAGAATGATGTATGATTGAGATTAAAAGAAACAAATCACACGGATTAAGAAAACAAATCCCTTTAAAATATTAAAATATACAAATTTAGGGTAAATCAGTCTTATTAAAAGATGTGCATTCCTATACAAAATGTTGTGCATTCCTATACTGTGTGTTGTGCATCAATAACTTCATTGTTGTGCATTCTAACCCCGCCAAAAAATCACACAGTGAACATCCAATGTTCTACGATGCATTGAACTATGTGCTATAATGCACAACTCCCTAGCCTATAGTGCACAACTTACAACACTAGGTTGCACAATCAGCACACACGAATGCACAATCGTACTACCCAGGCATTAATACATATACACGACAATCCAAATATAGACAATATTATACTCAAAAGAACAAGCGAAAAAATTAAAAAAAATACTGATTAGTTTGCATGGGCGAACACTCAATCAATGATGAAGAAATCGCGGCTCCAAATTGCAACGGTGATGATCCAAGAAAATAGGAAACCAATTTGGCCAAGGATTATACATGCGTTCACACTTAAAAAAATAGAAAAAGACACTATTATCCCACTTTAACAAAAAAGATCAATCCATGTCATCTCAAGAACTCAAATCTGGACCATCCAAATAAAAAAACAAACGCACAAGATTAGTCCTCACGTCCTCACCTAAGATTAGGTCCTCACCTGATCCGGATTCTATATATATATATATATATATATATATATATATATATATATATGAGAAGTTCATACATAACTAATTTAATGTCAAATTTGTTTATTTAAATATGGAATGTAACTCATAGTATATGAATACAATGTACTATATGAGATTCATTATAATTGTTACTAAGCTTTTATTAATCAATATCCAAGTATTTTTGTTGCAAAGGGTTCTAATATAATTAATGAATGCATATATATACAAGAGCAATTAATGAATCAACGGTATCAATCATTTCAGTGTTTTGCTCAGTGTTAATTTAGTTCAACCATTATCATAGAGATATGACCCTAAAACTTCAAGAGTTAATGGAAGTCCCCGACAATAAGCCATTGTGCCATCTAAAACCTCACCATAATCTTCTTCCAGTAATGTTTTATGTCCAAATGCATGTAGGTTAAAAAGCTGCAAAGACTCCCTAGGATCCAATATCTTAGCTTCATAACATTCATCCACCTCCAACTCTTTAAAAACATGTGCATCTCTTGTGGTTAAAATAAGTTTACTTCCTACACCAAATCAATCTCGTCCTCCAAAGAATTTATTGAATTGATTCCAATGCTCCAAATTATCAAAGACTATGAGACATTTTTTTGTTTGAAATCGCCTTTTCATCAACATGATTTCTTCATCTATACTGCCAAAGTCGATCTTCTCATTCAAAAGCTTTTGAAAAAGCTGTTTTTGTAATTTTTTTTCTTATCTACTTTATCAATATTTATCACATTATCTAGTTGCACTGAAATTGTTGAATCTATCTCAAGAAAACAGTTGCTTTCAAAGTGTACAAAAAGTTTGTTGTAAACCGCTTTAGCAAGAGTTGTTTTCTCAATACCACCCATACCATAGATCCAGACCATACGAACACCATCATTTGATTTGCCATGCAATAGCTGGACCACATGTTCAACGCGAGAATCAAGTCCAACTTCGTGTTTGCCAACAAATATTGGTACACGACTTATTATCCATTGGATCTCCTTGATTATTGAATTGATGAACTTGGATTCATATATTCAATATTCATATAGAAAATGAAAGCATTATGATGAAACATGCAAATGAATATATAATCAGCCTATAAATAATGTGCCTCTGTAATTTGTAAATACTAAAGTCAAATGTGGAAATGGGCAGAACCCTTTTTCTGATGAGGTTAGGAGCAGGAGAAAACACTTGGTCTGAAAAGCAAGAACACTTGGTCTGAAGAGTAAGATGCTCATTTTTGAAGAGCAAGATGCTCATTTCGGAAGAGCAAGAGAAAGAGCAAGATGCTCATTTCAGGAGAAAGAGCAATATGAAGTTGCAGGAGAGGATTTGCTATAAATAGGCAACTCCTCTTCATCCAATCCCATCCCATTCGATCAGGAATTCTCCCATTAGCATAGCAAAAATATAGAGTAGAATAGAGAGTTATATTTGTAATTTCTATTCTAATATCCTTTTGCCAATACAGAAAATCCTTTTTCAAATTGCCTTTATTTTGTGTATGATTTATTTTAAATCTTACACTAGAAATATTCTCATTATTTACGGTCCGAGTTGCCGTTGTATTTTGGTGTTGTGAACCGCATCGATCCTAACAAGTGGTATCAGAGCCCCAGGTTGGTTCATCGATATATTTGTACTGTATCATTTATGTTAGAACTCATACTGGTAGAGTGATTGTACATGTCTAGGAAAAGCTCTGGTTAAGACTTGGTATTTAAGCATTCCATTTGTGACTCACCTCTCTTGTCCCTGAAATATTTTCCTGGTGTACTGTTCACAAGACCGATAGTTTTCTATTATATGATACTATTTAGATATATTGTTCAGGATCAAGAACACCACTTACAATGACGGCAAAGTACGAGATTGAAAAGTTCAATGGGAACAGTTTCTCGTTGTGGAAAATGAGAATGAAAGCAGTTTTCAGGAAAGATAACTGCGTTGCAGCAATTGAAGAAAGACCGGCCGATTTCACTGACGATGCCAAGTGGACAGAAATGGATAGCAACGCTATTGCCAATCTGCACTTAGCACTTGCTGATGAAGTTTTGTCAAGTGTAGCGGAAAAAGGTACGGCAAAAGAGATATGGGATACTCTCATAAATTTGTATGAGGCCAAATCACTGCACAACAAAATATTCTTGAAGAGGAAGCTATACACTCTCAGGATGATGGAGACATCCTCAGTAACTGAGCACATCAACACTCTCAACACTCTATTTTCACAACTCTCGGCGTTGAGCTATAAAATAGATGTGAATGAACGTGCTGAAATTTTACTCCAAAGTCTACCGGATTCATACGATCAACTCATTATTAATCTAGTCAACAACAAGGAGGTACTTGTCTTCGATGACACTGCAACTGTGGTTCTTCAAGAAGAAAGTCGGCGCAAAAATAAAGAAGATAAAGTTGGAACCTCACAACAGTCTCAGGTGTTGACAGTGACAAGAGGAAGATCAACGGAGCCTGGCTCCAGTGGGAGTCACAACCGAGGTAGATCAAAGTCAAGGGGTAAGAAGAATGTCAAGTGTTTTCACTGTGGCAAAAAGGGGCACTTCAAGAGTGAGTGTTGGCAGCTCAAGAAGGATGGGACCAAAGGCAAAAATCCCGAGACATCAAATGCTCAGGGATGTGTGTTGTGAGTACATCAGATGGAGGCGAAGTTTTAATTGGTGTTGCAGCAACAATTGTAAAAGGCAGGAAGAGTCTAGCTGATGTTTGGCTCATGGACTCCGGAGCAACATGGCATATGACTTCACGAAGAGAATGGTTTTATGAATATGAACCTGTCTCTGGAGGATCAGTCTTCTTGGGAGATAATCATGCCTTAGAGATTGCTGGCATTGGTACTATCAAACTAAAAATGTTTGATGGTACAGTTCGCACTATCCAAGAGGTACGACACGTGAAAGGCCTGAAGAAGAATCTATTATCTCTAGGACAATTAGATAGCCGTGAATGTAAAATTCACATTCAGGATGGGATCATCAAAGTAATCAAGGGCGCGCTTGTTGTGATGAAAGCTGAAAAGGTAGCGACCAATCTATACATGCTTAAAGGAGAAACACAACTACAAGGAGAAGTAGCTGTTGCATCAGACAATCTTATAGAGGAATCAACGATGATGTGGCATCAAAAACTTGGCCACATGTCGGAACGAGGTCTAAAGATTCTTGCTGATCAACATCTTCTTCCAGGGTTAAAAAAGGTTTCATTACCTTTTTGTGAGCATTGTGTTACAAGTAAGCAGCATAGATTGAAGTTCGAGAGCTCTAAAGCAAGGAGCAAGGCTATCTTTGAGCTAATCCACTCCGATGTTTGGCAAGCACCAGTTATATCCCTGGGAGGTGCAAAGTATTTTGTATCCTTCATAGACGATTACTCGAGGAGATGTTGGGTGTATCCAATCAAGCGAAAGGCGAATGTATTTGAAGTTTTCAAATTCTTCAAAGCGCGTGTGGAACTTGAATCCGAGAAACGGATCAAGTGTTTGAGGTCGGATAATGGAGGAGAATATACTAGTGATGAGTTTGATAAATTCTGTCTACAAGAAGGTATCAAACGGCAGTTCACGGTGGCGTATACTCCACAACAAAATGGAGTGACAGAGCGGATGAACAGAACCTTGTTGGAAAGAACAAGAGCAATGTTGAGGACTGCAAATTTGGCAAATTCATTTTGGGGTGAAGCAGTCAAAACCGCATGTTATGTGATCAATCGATCACCATCAACCGCAATTGATTTGAAAACGCCAATGGAAATGTGGACTGGTAAGCCATCCAGTTATTCTCACTTACATACATTTGGGAGTCCGGCATATGTGATATACAACACTCAAGAAACATCAAAACTTGATCCAAAATCAAGAAAATGTGTTTTCTTGGGGTATGCTGATGGAGTGAAGGGGTATCGCCTGTGGGATCCCACTGCCCACAAGGTTATCATCAGCATGGATGTTCTATTTGTAGAAGATAAGGTACAAGAAAGTGAAAGCACTGAAAAGGAGAAACCAGTGACAACTACAGTACAAATTGAGGGAAGGAATGAAGAAGAAATTCCAGTTTCCCCTGAGTGTGCTGTGTATGACTTGTATCTTGAGCAGTTGGATGTGAAAACTGCATCTCTACATGGAGAACTTGAAGAAGAGATTTACATGCTCCAACCAGGAGGTTTTGAAGAAGAAGAAGGGAACTTGCTTTGCAGGTTGACCAAATCTCTATACGGTCTCAAACATGTGCCGAGATGTTGGTATAAGAGATTTGATTCATTCATTATGAGCCTTGGATACAACAGGTTTAACTCCGATCCTTGCGCATATTGCAAGAGATTTGATGATAATCAGTTTATCATCTTGTTGTTGTATGTTGACGAAATGTTGGTAGTAGGCCCCAACAATGATCGTATCACAGAGATGAAGGCTCAACTGGCTAGGAAATTTGAAATGAAAGACTTGGGACCAGCAAACAAGATTCTAGGTATGCAAATTCACCGAGACAGAAATAATAGGAAGATTTGGCTTTCTCAGCAGAATTATCTGAAGAAAATCTTGTGGCGCTTCAACATGCAAGATAGTAAGCCAATTTCTACCCCTCTTTCTATTAATTTCAAGTTATCCTCAAGTATGAGTCCTAGCAACGACGCAGAGAGGATAGAGATGTCTCGAGTACCATATGCATCAGCAGTGGGCAGTTTAATGTTTGCTATGATCTGCACTAGACCAGACATTGCACAAGCAGTGGGAGCGGTCAGTCGATACATGGCAAATCCTGGTAGAGAGCATTGGAGTGCTGTGAAGAGGATCCTTAGATATATCAAGGGTACCTCAGATATTGCATTGTGTTATGGAGGATCAGACTTAATTATTAGAGGCTATGTTGATTCAGATTATGCAAGTAATCTTGATTGTAGCAAATCCGCCACGGGTTATGTGTTTACTCTTGCTGGCGGAGCAGTAAGCTGGGTCTCGAAGTTGCAGTATGTTGTGGCAACGTCGACGACGGAAGCAGAATATATAGCTGCTACTCAAGCTATTAAAGAGGCAATATGGTTGCAAATGCTATTGGAGGAGCTCGGTCACAAAGTAGAGAAAATGACTCTATTTTGTGACAGTCAGAGCGCTTTGTACTTGACAAAGAATCCAGCATTTCATTTCAAGACGAAACACATACGGGTCCAATTTCACTTTGTTCGTGAAAAGGTGGAAGAAGGGAATGTGGATATACAGAAAATCCATACTAAAGATAACCTGGCAGATATGTTAACAAAGCCGATTACCAACGATAAATTCGTATGGTGTAGATCCTCAATTGGCCTAACAAGTATGCAAGCAGCACGGAATTGGTAGAAAGGATGAAGGTCCACATTGTGACTTTAAGTGGGAGATTTGTAAATACTAAAGTCAAATGTGGAAATGGGTAGAACCTTTTTTCTGATGAGGTTAGGAGCAGGAGCAAACACTTGGTCTGAAGAGCAAGGTCCTCATCTCTTAAGAGCACGATGCTCATTTCTGAAGAGCAAGGTGCTCATATCTTAAGAGCACAGTGCTCATCTCTGAATAGCAAGATGCTCATTTCTGAAGAGCAAGATGCTCATTTCGGAAGAGCAGGAGAAAGAGCAAGATGCTCATTTCAGGAGAAAGAGCAAGATGAAGTTCCAGGAGAGGATTTGCTATAAATAGGCAACTCCTCTTCATCCAATCCCATCCCATTCGATCAGGAATTCTCCCATTAGCATAGCAAAAATATAGAGAGTAGAATAGAGAGTTATATTTGTAATTCCTATTGTAATATCCTTTTGCAAATACAGAAAATCCTTTTTCAAATTGCCTTTATTTTATGTATGATTTATTTTAAATCTTACACTAAAAATATTCTCATTATTTCCGGTCCGAATTGCCGTTATATTTTGGTGTTGTGAACCGCATCGATACTAACATAATTCAATACTCATATTTATAATTTATGTATAAATGTGAAGTATATTGTTTATATGCAACTTTAAAGAGTAAATACCAGCGGAGGTCCTCTGACTTTGGTGGCACTGCCACTTTTAGTCCTCAACTTTTAAATCAACCACTTTTAGTCCTCTCACTTTTTGTTTCTAGCCATCTATGGTCCTTTCGTTAAACTTGACCCTCTAATGCCGTTTTCTAAAAGATAATTAAGTCCTTTCATAATTAATTTATTAATTATTGTGTTTAATTTCCTCATCAGAATAGTCAAACAATGGTTTCCCAGCTATGAACGTGTACAAAACCAGCTCGTGAATCAAAATGGCGTACAAAAGCTGGTACGAAGGTTGTGCCAAAACGACGTTGGGATATCTCGGTATGACTCGGCAAACATAATAATTAATAAATTAATATGAAAGGACTGAATTATCCTTGAGAAAACGGCATTAGATGGTCAAGTTTAACGGAAGGACCATAGATGGCTAGAAACAAAAGGTAAGAGGACTAAGAGTGGTTGATTTAAAAGTTGAGGACTAAAAGTGGCAGTGCCACCAAAGTCAGAGGACCTCCGTTGGTATTTACTCAACTTTAAATGTCTGCTCGTTTGTGAGATATTCAATTATTTGCAACCTCGATCATATAGATGCCCAATGCAATAATGTAAGTTTGAATGAAGACAGATAATTACTCAAAAGTTATATTAAGTTTTAGTTATGAATAAATAAAAATAAAGTTAATTAGGACAAATAGTCAAATGTTTTACCCAACTGCGCATAGCTCAATCACAAAAATAATGAATTACTCAAAGAAAACAATGAGAAAGCAATATCATACCCATTTGCCATTTCATGCAAATCCCATAAGAAAAAAAAAATTATTCGGATGCACAGGTAATTTACTAGTAAGAAGTACAATACTAGTATACTACTATCCATAAATGCTAAAGATAATGCTCGAAATTATTAACAAAAAAGAAGTACAAAATGTGGAATGTTATTACAAAAGAAATTTGAAAAAAAAAATAAAAAATTATTGGGATCTTGACTTGATAAGAGGTACAAATTGTCGGACGCCGTATTTATCTATGTATAAAGCTTCGGCTCCTATTTTCTTCATCATACACGCTTCAATTGATGTTGGCGAACCAGCAATCCTAATTTTTGTTATAGGAGTAACTTTGACGACTTCTCCAGCTTTTATATCTTCAAGATGATACCGTGGAATGAAATGTAGAATTGAAATTTCTTCCATTTCTAATTGGACACTAAAAGATAACAGTCTGTTCATTTTGAAAGCACTAGTTTCAATACTGACGAAATAATCACAAGAAAGTCCCGGGAATGCTATGATAACCACCCAAAAAAGGAGTCCAACAAATTCCAGTGTATTAGACTCAGTAGGAAATTGGAAAGATAATGATGCTCCTTCCTCTTTACATCTAATCCAACTCGGAATTTCGTTACATGTAAGACTACATTCAAAACCTACGTAACCCAGACGTGAACCTAACAAAACCTGTTCAAGGAAATTAGAGTATATTAGTGTGTGTATGTACAACCGCAAATTTTACCATGGACCAAGGTCCACCATTATTTGTTGTTGATTCTAGTCCAAAAAGGCATTTTGATTATGTGTTTGCAGCACATAATTAATAACTACATGTACACAATATGTTAATTGCATTTAGATAATATGTTAATTGTAATATACACATAATTTATTAACAGATGATACATATATACTATAAACATATTGACACTATTTAGTAAATGGTTGTTAGCTGATTGTATTAATTAGAGTGTATAATTAGTTGATAACATTAACTGATTGTAGAAAAGTGTTTGGTAAATTAGCTGTTAGCTAATAGCTGTTTGGTATAATTTCTTTTCTCAAAAAGCTAATTGAAAAAGTTGCTTGAGTACCTTTTTGAATTATAAAATTTTGGAGTTGCAAAAAGCTAATTAACCAAACATTTATATTGATTTTTTTTAACTAAATCAAGCAATTATAGTGATCAAATAAGCTAAAATTGACTGATAGGCCAACAATTTACCAAACAGGGCCATAATTTATTAATTGAAGGTAAATATATAATATGACATTAGCGGGAGGCACAAACCTTATTCCGTGGTGTAACAATTATATGTACAAACATACATTAGGTATTTAAAGATCACCAAAGTCCCCCACTAAAATGTTGTCATTAATTAGAACGTAACACATGTCCTATTTGGTAAAATAATTAGTCTATTAGTCAATTTTGGCTTATTAATCACTATTAGTTGTTTGACTTGATTAAACAATCAATATGAGTGTTTGATTAGTTAGCTTTTTGTAACAACTTATTGCTCCAAATTATTAAAATTCAAAAAGCTGCTTAAAGTAATTTTTTCGATCAGTTTTTTGATAAAGTCATTTTGTATGTAATCAGCTAACTGCTAATTTACCAAACACTTTTCTACCATTAGCTAATGCTATCAAGTAGTCAAATTCACTAACCAATCAGCTAACAGCCATTTACCAAACACCAATAGTACACGAAGCAAAAAACATATATGCATGCATACCTCCTTAATGCTTTCTGAGAAATCAATATGTGGAACGCCTCCTAACATCATGCTGCTCATTATATGAAGATTATTCTCCCAACCTTGAATTTCCTTCAACTTTCTGCAACCACTGAGATTCAATACGCTCAACACCGTATTGTGGGATAAGTTTGGTATTTTTTCCATGGACTCACAGTTTTTAGCTGTAAGAGATCTAAGTGGCTGAGGAAGCTCTGGGATCAGTTTGAGGTTTTTGGAGCCTTCTAACCAAACCCTCACAAGATGGGGAGGAAATTGTGGAAGCATTTCAAGATTTTTGCAACCATTTAAGCTAATATCCTGTAGATTGGGAGGGAGCTGTGGGAGTATTTGAAGAGATTCACAACCATGTAATGAAATTATCTCAAGACTGGGAGGAAATTGTGGGAGCATTTTAAGATTGTAGCAACCTTTTAAGGAAATTTCCCTAAGATTGGAAGGAAGTTGGGGAAGTATTTGAACATTATTGCAATCATTTAAACTAAATTCCCTAAGATTGAGTGGAAGCTCTTGGATCATTTTTAAGCTGTGGCAATGATCCAAATGGACATTTGAAACAGTGTGATGGAGTTTTGGAAGTACTTCTATGTTCTTGCAGAAATTCAAATAGATGGTTTCAAGCTTGGACAAACGAGACAGGTTGGAGAGCACACCATAAGTATTGGTTCTCACTAGACACAGTGTTTGTATTGAGGTTAAATTTGAAAAAATTTCTGGCAATGCTTTTAGCTTTGAGGCAAATGACACATCAAGATATTGTAGTGAATTCAAATGGCGAAGGTTATTTGGAAGTTTCTCTAGCTTTTCACACCCACCAAAACTTAAATAAACCAGTTTCTTCAACTCTCCGATAAAAGAGTGCACCTTTACCAAATTATGGCAGAGCCGAAATGATAGCTTACGAAGATTTTGAGCACCACTAAAGTTCGGAGTCCGAATGAGATAGGAGCCATCAAGGTCCAAAACCTCGAGACACGGGAAAAACTATATAAATGAATTCAAAAATAAAAGTCAATAATAAGATTCAATTGATAGATATTGTAGTAAATAATTTGTTATAGAAAAGCATAATAAAAAAGAATAAAATATTACAAAATTACCTTTAAGGGGGTTTGAAATTCTTTGATGTTGCTATTTTGTAGTTCCAAATTTACAAGCTTCTCAAAAGAACAGCCAGATGAAATATTAATATATTTCAAAGGGCAAGAATCCCATTTCAAACATCTAAGCTCCTTGGATAGATGATCGAACTTTCCGTTAAGATGGATATACTCTCCACTGATTTCAAGAAATCTTAAATTCTCCATGTCCTTAAAGGCTTCTGTACTATACTTGCACACCACATTTTTTAGGGGAGAGTCATTGAATATAATCACCTCAATCTTTTTGGTACCCTACAAATTAAATAAAATGATAAACTAATTGATGAAGAAAGTATATATGCAATATAAGAACATAGAAACTAATTAAAAGCAAATTTGAATTGTGTCATGTAACCCCATTACAATTTACCCAAAATTAATTTGTGGTAAAATGTAAATAATTAGTTATTTTCGCTAAATTTAATAGCAAATTACTACTATATAATCTCCACATACGCATCTATAAATACTGTGAATCTATTGTAGAGAGACTTTATCAATGATATAAAATTTTGAAAATTTTGTGACTTATGTGTTATTTATGGGCAAAGTGAACCACACGAAACTGAGAGGCAAAAAATCTAATTATTGTGATATGGAAGAGCTTAAATACTAAGGTTTATGTAATAAGATTTCACGCATAACAAAAATGAGAGCAAAAAAAAAATACCTTTTGTTTTATAAGCACCTCATGAATGTCCTTAGGGCACCAGAGTCGGCTACGTTCACCTGGATTATTAGGTGACTCCAAACGAATAATTTCTCTTCCCATCTTTCGAATTAAGTCATGCATACTAATCCAAGAATCAGTCCTACCTTTAATTATCAGACATTTGTCGATCAAGTCTCGAATTTCAATGCTTGAGAAATTACACATGCTTCTAATATTCTCCTTGTAAACTCTATTAGAGAAACAAACAAGATCAAGAAAAGCAGATTTGATACAATCATCTGGAAGCCCATCATAACTGATTTTAAGTTTAGCTTGAACATTGTTATTAGGAATTTTCTTCAATTTCGCAAAGGCACTAATCCATTCTTCCCTTGATTTATCATATAGATATGACCCTAAAACTTCAAGAGCTAATGGAAGTCCCCAACAATATACCACTATGCCATCTAAAACCTCACCATAATCTTCTTTCGGTAATGTTTGCTGTCTAAATGCATGTAGGCTAAAAAGCTGCAAAGACTCCATAGGATCCAATACCTCAGCTTCATAACATTCATCCACTTCCAACTCTTTAAAAACATGTGCATCTCTTGTGGTTAAAATAAGTCTACTTCCTCCACCAAACCAATCTCTTCCTCCAAATAATTTATTGAATTGATTCCTATGCTCCAAATTATCAAGGACTATGAGACATTTTTTTGTTTGAAGTCGCCTTTTCATCAACATGATTTCTTCATCTATACTGCCAATGTCGATCTTCTCATTCAAAAGCTTTTGAAAAAGCTGTTTATGTAATTTTTTGATCGTCTTATCTACTTTATCAATATTTATCCCATTATCTAGTTGCCCTGAAATTGTTGAATCTATCTCAAGAAAACAGCTGCTTTCAAAGTGTACAAAAAGTTTGTTATAGACCGCTTTAGCAAGAGTTGTTTTCCCAATACCACCCATACCAAAGATCCCGACCATATGAACACCATCATTTGATTTGCCATGCAATAGCTGGACCACATGTTCAATGCGAGAATCAAGTCCAACTTCGTGTTTGCCAACAAATATTGGTACGCGACTTATTATCCATTGGATCTCCTTGATTATTGAATTGATGAACTTGGATTCATATCTTCAATATTCATATAGAAAATGAAAGCATTATGATATGATGAAACTTGCAAATGAATATATAATCAGCCTATAAATAATGAACCTCTGTAATTCAATACTCATATTTATAATTAATGTATAAATGTGAAGTATATTGTTTGAGAAAATTACCGATTTGGTCCCTCGATTATGAGGATTTTACCAATTTGGTCCTCGACTACCAAAGTTACTAAATTTGGTCCTCGACTATGACATTTTTACTTGATTTGGTCCTCGATTATGACATTTTTTACCTGATTTGGTCCTAAAGTCAAACCAGTGTGATTAAGGCAATAAATTTGAGTATATTTTTATAATTGCACATTATGTCATTTTTCGTCTGTCCAAGTTTATCCCACGCTTTGCATTCCTTTGCCTTCAGACAAACAAAAAACTTTTTAGTGTAAACAAAAAACCCTAATCGCACAATCCAGTCAAAAATTTGAATAATGAGTTGAGAAATCATCTGGAATGCTTCAACATCTAAATCCACTTCACTGGGGAAATAAGAACTGAGACTTTGACCAGTGTGTAGAGGATTTAGATATTGAAGCATTCCAGATGATTTCCTAACTCATTATTCAAATTTTCGACTGCATTGTGCAATTAGGTTTTTTGTTTACACTAAGAAGTTTTTTGTTTGTCTGAAGGCAAAGGAAGGCTAAGTGTGGGATAAACTTGGATAGCCGAAAAAAGACATAATGTGCAATTACAAAAATATTGTCAAATTTATTGCCTTAATCACACTGGTTTGACTTTAGGACCAAATCGGGTAAAAATGTAATAGTTGAGGACCAAATCAGGTAAAAATGTCATAGTCGATGACCAAATACAGTAATTTTGATAGTCGAGGACCAAATTGGTGAAATCCTCATAGTCGAGGGACCAAATCGGTAATTTTCTCTATATTGTTTATATGCAACTTTGAATGTATGGTCTTTTATGAGATATTCAATTATTTGCAACCTCATATAGATGCCCAATGCAATAATGTAAGTTTGAATGAAGACAGATAATTAATCAAAAGTTTTATAAAGTTTTAATTATGAATAAATAAAAATAAAGTAAATTACGACAAATAGTCAAATGTTTTACCCAATTGCGCATAGCCCAATTCACAAAAATAAAGAATTACTCAAAGAAAATAATGAGAAAGGAATATCATACCCATTTGTCATATCTTGCAAATCCCATCCTTTCATATTGGCAACTTTAGTGAGTGCATCTCTCCACTTCTGTACTTTATCACTTCCCGAAAAACGCTCTTTGTGCTTTGACAAGGCCATGCCATAGCTCCCGCTTTGCTTACGCACTTCTGAAGGATCAATGTTGTAAAAAATAGGAAAAACTCTAAGTTTTCGCTTCTCCTTAAGCTCGACAATTTCCACCAATTCGTCAAGGCACCACCTAGACGAGGCATAATCTTTCGAGAGGATTATCACAGCGATTCTTGAACTTTGGATTGCTTTCACGAGCTCAGGAGCAAGATATTCTCCCTTTGTGAGCTCCTCCTCGTCTCTAAACGTGCGAATTCCGACTTGATGCAGTGCAGAATAAAGATGATCAGTGAAAGTTTTGCGTGTGTCCTCACCTCTGAAGCTCAAGAACACATCATATTCCCAAGCGAAGGATTCATGAGCGATTGAGGGTGTTGCCATAGATAGGGAGATCAGAAAAGTGATGAGTAAAAGAAGGCTAGAAAGCTAGAAAAATTAGAGTGAAGATTATGAATAGCTGTGAAATGGAAGACTTGAATTTATAGAGATCAGATCGAGATAGATGGGTAAAGTAGGTGAGTACGAAAAGAAATGGAAATATGGCAGAGATTGAGTGCATGACTTTGTTGAAGACTTGAAGTCAGTCCAGAGAGAAATAACAAAATTAAAGGAAAGAGGAAAGAAAATGCTTATCATTTACTTGGAAATTTCCTTGATTGAAAAGTCCAATTGGCCTTGTGTAAGTCATCATTGAAATATCTGAGAAGCATCTTACATGTTGTCTTCTTCTTCAGTGCATTGAGCTCTAGATTTGCAGGCAGGGCTGGTATGAGCAACATTTTGTAGGGCTGTTTATTATTCACAAAAGCCTTGGCCCAAACATGTTGCCAACTTCATGATGACTATATCACAAAGACCAAATTTAGGCCTTGTTTGGTAAAATAGGGCAAATTATACCGTGCACCTGCATTGTGCGCCCTGGCCCAAAACGACGTCGTTTTGGACCTTTTCGCGCGTTTGCTGTTAACTCCTTAAAAAATAATTTCATGTTTCGAATGTACAAAATTGTATAATATAATACACAGAATTTTATACCTAAAAATCCCCATGTTCCAAATGTACAGAATTATATAATAGAAAACATAGAATTTTATACATGAAAATACAGAATTTTATAACTGAAAATTCTCATGTTTCGAATGTACAAAATTATATAATAGAAAACACAGAATTTTATACCTTAAAACACAGAATTTTATACCTGAAAACACATAATTTTTTTTAAAAGGATAAAAATCTCTTGTTTCGAATGTATAGAATTTTATACCTGAAAAGACAGAATTTTATAACAAAATTACAAAACGACGTCGTTTTTGGATGCGTGGGGCGCACATTGCTATGTGCGCCTTGGTGCAAGGTATAACGATTGGTAAAATAGTTAGCTTATTTGACCACTATTAATTGTTTGAATTTATTAGAAAAAAAGAAAATATAAGTGTTTGGTTAATTAACTTTTGTAACTCCAAAATGGTAAAATTCAAAAAGTTGTTCAGAGCAATTTTTTGAATTAATTTTTGATAAAAAAAAATTATACCAAACAGCTATTAGCTAACAGCTAATTTACCAAACACATTTCATTAAAGAAATATGTCTACTGAAGTTTCAATATTTTTTTTTGAATGTGAAGTTTCAATATTTAACTTATCTCAACAGAGTTAAAATCTTGAATGTATCTTAGCTTTCTTAATTGTCAATATTCGGATAGAAAATTTATAAGTGTACTTTTAAGTAAAATTCTTATTATATGTTATCATTTTATCAGATACAAATGAATAAAAATGGGTATCGATATTTTTTTTGGATTAATCAAAATGTGTTAGGTTAAGAGCATCCGCATCAGTTGGGGAGATTTGGGGGAGAATGTAAGAGTGACTAGGAAGGTGTCCGGTCTATTATATTACTTCATTGAACGTAAATATGAATATAAATGGGTCTTGAATGTTTACATCATAAAGTAATACAATAAAATGAAATAATATGGCCACACGCACCGTACCATGGCGCGCCACATTGGATTTGGTCAGCTCGGATACATGCGTTGCACAAGTTGTTGTAGTATAGTGGTGAGTATCCCCGCCTGTCACGTGAGAGACCTGGGTTTGATCCCTGGTAACGGCATTGAGTTTTTTCTTTTAACACTTCAAAGTAGAACAAAGCAAAGCTTAATCAAACAAAAGAAATCAAACCTGCCGGATTTGAACCAGCGACCTAAGGATTTCAGCTTCTTTTAACACTTCAAAGTAGAACAAAGCAAAGCTTAATCAAACAAAAGAAATCAAACCTGCCGGATTTGAACCAGCGACCTAAGGATTTCAGCTTCTTTTAACACTTCAAAGTAGAACAAAGCAAAGCTTAATCAAACAAAAGAAATCAAACCTGTCGGATTTGAACCAGCGACCTAAGGATTTCAGCTCAGATTAGTCCTCCGCTCTACCAACTGAGCTAAAATCAAGGCTAATAATACCCTTCATAGGGTTCCTAAGTGTATATCGATTAAAGCGAAATGAGATGCCTGCAATTATATTGTTTGAAGTTCATTTTAAAAGCTACTTTCAATTTTCTCTACTTGCAGGATGTCTAATTAAATAACAGTACCAATCTCTGCAATGCTCAATCTACATACCCAAATAAACATTCATAATTCACCAACAAACAACCTTTATAATTATTATTAGGGTTACGTGGCACACAACGAGAATAAAGTTGATGCCTATGCAACATATTTCACACCTCTTAGAAAGTGGTTATTTATATTAGTTCAAAACTACATATATTTTTTTCAAAGTGGAACAAAGGCTTTAATTACCAAAACCGTATGTTTCAAAGTATCGTTTTCAAAACTTCTTAATTACAATTTGAGAATTAATTTCTTTAGGTATACCTAAAATTAATTATTTTTATTAATTTTATCCTTTCTATTGATTTTATTATTAATTAGCGTATTAATATTTTTGCATAACATGAAATTGAAAGTAACATAAAACATTAATAATAATATTTTAAGTTATTTTAGTTCGAGTTAGGTTTGGATGAAATATTAACACTCAATATCTGAATTGATATGAGATATACCATAACTTCTAATATCTTAACCAATAACAATTCGTGTTTCTCTGAAATATAATTTTTGGTTTTGATTTTTAGCGTTAGTTTGAATAATGCAAATTATTTTAACTCTTAATGACAAATGTCACAGCACCTCAACAACATTGTTTCTCGAATCAACCTTTATTTATTGTTCTACCTCAATAGGCAATATTGAAGCGCTATAAATGTGACACCCCACAAATCCACATTCAATCCATGGATTAATTGAGTAATTAATCCTATTTTATTTGAGGAATTAATTCCTAAAATCCTGATTTTTAATACTCAAGGACTAGTATTTGACTAGTCAACCTTAAAGTTGGGTTGTACCTTGAGCTTTGAGGGGAGTTCCCTTGTTCCTTACACTTTCTAAAGGTTAGTAAGGGTATTCTTGACTTTTCACTAAGAGTTAGTATTGTAACCTAACCTAGAAGACTTCTTCATTTCATTCCTTACATTTCCTAGAAATTGGCTCTACCTTCTCTCTAGAAAGAAGTGTAGCTTATTCTCCAAGCTAAGTTGAGACCCTTGTCAAGAGTCCAAGATTTGCTACCAAGATTCAACCTTTCACCTATTTGGGCATTTAGGAGGGTAAGATCTAAGTTCATCTTGTGTTTTTGGTTCCATCTTAGTTGTCTTTTTCTTAAAGGTAGAATCTTTATGATCTTTTGGTTTGATCTTGAAGTGGGTTTGGAAAGTAAGCCTTGTGGGGAGCTTGTTGTGGTGTAAAGTGAAGTCTTTTGGTCTACAAGAGGTAACCCATGATCTACAAAACCTATTTTGCTTACCTATATGTGATTTCTTGGATTCTACATGTGTTTTGTTATGAAATGTGAGGGTTTATGCATTTGTCTTATGATATTGCATATCTAGAGCTTGTGTTTAGGGTTCCTTTGTGCCATTGCTTGGCATTTTCCATGGTTCAAGTCATTTTGTTGTATTGGGTGAGATTTGGCATGTTTTGGACTTGAATTTGTGTTTGGAGAAGAAAATTCCCGAAGTGATTATTTTGCACAGGTATATGTACCCGCAGGCGGAACGACGGGTCGAGCTCCACCCGCCGCCCACCCGCGGGGAACATAAGCCTCATGGGTAGTGTACCCGCGGGCGGAACCACGGGTGGGAGCCAACCCGTGGGTCCACCCGCGGGGAACACAGTGGAGATGGATCGGGATTTGTTCTCCGTGATTCGTTTGACTCGGTATTTAGTCTTTTGACTTCCCGTTGTTCTTTTGTGGAACTATTCGAGTGTCTTCTTGATGTTTCATATGTCTAGAACTATATGGTAGGTATCCATGTAGGACTTTGGTGTCGTGAATCGTGCTAAGTGTTCAACATTGTGTTTCGTTGGATCAAGAGGTGTCTTGTGTGTTCCTCGGAACTATCTTGAGTTTCCCCGTTGATAAGCATGCTAGTTTGGTATCTAAACGCTAGCGTGTGTGTGTTGTTTGTACCTTCCGTTTGGTTGATGATAACTTGTGTTATTCATCGTTGATGTTGTTGGGCTGTGACCCATTCCTTGATTGAGTATGTTTCATACCTTCGTTGTGATCCGTTGTTTGACTCTTGTTGAGTTGTGGTGCGTGTGTGGCTTTACCTGGATTGCACGATTAGTGGTATGGGACACTAGTCACCAAGGTATTGCAGCGGTCCTCGTGGTGGCCGTGACGTGATTATGGAGTTGTGGCCTTTGTGTAAGGTTCACGTTTTTGGGGGATAACATGTGTTATCCGGGCATGTGTTACCGTGTACGGTACCTTGTGTACTATGAATTGGTGGTCTCGTTGGTGGTCGTTGGTGGGGGACGATGGTCCCACGGGAATAAGGTTGGACTAAGAAGTACAGGGGTCCTGGAGGTAATGGTTGGAAGAAGATATAAGGTTGGGCGTAGCCATAAGGTTGGAACAGGGCATAAGGAAGGCATATCAACTCGTGATGGGTGATGTTGCGAGGGCTTGTAAAGCCGGCGTTGTGTGTTCTTCTCTCGTGACGTGTGTAGTCACGGAGGCATGTGTTACTTTGGCATGTGTTGCCGTTGGGTGAGTCTTTATCCTTTGCGTGTGGTTAACCTTTGTGGTTTGGGATGTGTTCCCGTGTTATCTTTGAGAGTGATGAGTCTTGTGTTGACTGTTGATCTTGGTTTTTGACTTATATATATGTATTCCGTTTCGAAAATGGTTTTACACCTTATATCTATCTAAGTATGATATTTCACATGTATTAGTGGGTTACCAGCATTTATCGTTGACCAGGCGTCGTCCCAATGTTTATCTTTGTATCTTTCAGGTGATGTTTAGACGAGCGCAATGTCTAGTGCTTGGTAGCTTAGTACCCTCATCCTTGTTTTGTGGCCTGTGTGCTAATGTAGTTTTAGACTGATGTTTTTGGGATAGATGTATACACTTGCAGATTGTTTGCCGTAGCGTTTACCGTGTTTGGTAGACGTGGCGTGACACCCCGTTCGGATTTC